AGACCCCCAGACAGTCACTCGGGGAGACCTAGCAGGTCCAGACTCCATTCAGAGATCTGTGGCAGCAGGTCCCCACTCCCAAAGGCCATGTGCCCACGGTGGTCTCTGGTGCCTGAGACCCCAGTCTCATTTGCATCTTTGCAACTTTGAGTTTAAGTGGGTGCCACATCTCTGTATGTCCTCCTGAGCAGAGGAGGGGCACAGCCTGGGGTGGCAGCTGGCATCAATCCCTCAAATCCCCTGGGAGCCACTGGGGAGACCAAGCAGTCCCCAGCCCCCACTTGTCCCTGAGCTGCCATTCTCAGCCCTGTGGGAGGAGACAAAAATCCCTGAAGAGAAACCAAATGATCAGGTCAGGAGGGGCTGGGGGGTGGCATGAACAATCGGGGCAGGGAAGGATGGACAGATGGGGGAATGGAGGGAGGAAGGAATGACTCAAAAGGTGAATGAATGAACAAAGAGAGAGAACGGCCACGCCTCCCTTGCTTTAGTTTACAAAGCACTGGGATCCTCCCAACAGCCTGCAAGACAGAACTTCTGGGAAGCAGACCAGGTGGCTGCAGGGAGGGGAGGCTTCCCCCGGCTTTTGTGGGCCCAATGGCAGGCAGGGGGCAGGAAAGGGCGTCCTGTATGTGTCCTCTCTGCAGTGGCAGCAGCGGAGGCCTCCCTTGGGCTGGGTTTCCTGGAAGAGGGTCAGGGAACACCCGCCGTGGCCCCTCTCCACCACACCCTCATCCCGGACACCAAGTATCAGTCACTCAGCTCACGAGACCCAGGCCCTGACTCAGGGAGAGAGGATGTGAGGGGTGGGGCACCAGGCTCCCCAGGACAGAGAGACCCGAGATGTGGTCATGGGCTGGGAATTGGGGCAGACTGGCTGTGGCAGCATTGTGTGTACCCCAGCAGGCCAGTACCCACACAGGGAGCCTCTGAAGCCCTTCACCTATGACCCTGGGAGAAGACCCCAGCCTTGGAGAATTGGCCTCACTGAAGGGGCCTGCACTGGCCAGCAGGGTCAGGCGGGGCCAGACCGGTTCCCACCTAGGATATGCAAATGGGCCTCCTGAATCCTGGAGCCAGGTGTGGACTCACACACGACTGTCCCTAAATCACCATCTGCCCCATGGGCACACCCTGCCACCTGTTCTGTGCAAGGGCCCTGAGGCTGCCTCCTTGCGCCCAAGCCCTGCAGGTGCTGAAGCCCACACACACACGGCTCCTGCTTCCTGGGCCAGTGCACGTGCACACACACACACACACACACTCACACATCCACACATACACATACCCCCACACAATCACACACATTCACCCCCACACCCACACACATGCACACTCACACACACACTCCCACACACATTCCCACACCCCCACACACTCACACACACACTCACACTCTCAAACACACACGCATGCAATCACACACTCACACACACTCCCCACACACCCATACACACACTCACACACACGCACCTTCTCCAGGAGGGGCTGGCTGCCAAGGGCCACCCAGCTCCCCGCCACCTCTCACTCACCGTCCAATATCCGAGCAAACCTTGGAGTCGGCAGCAACAGCAGCGTGGGCAAAGGCCTGGGGGCCGCAGGGGGCTTGGTGGCGAGAGAGGATCACAGCCAGCACAATGACAGCCAGCGCCAGCCCCAACCCCAGCAGGACTAGGCCGACCGTGGCCCCACAGCCCCGGGCCATGGCTCTGTGGCCCAGGAGGAGAGGGGAGGCCGGTGAGCAGACACAGGGACAGATGGGTGGGCAGATGGATGGACAAGAAGATGCACAGATAGACTCACAGATAATTGGACAGATGGACAAACAGGTGGGGCCACAGACAGACACGAAGGTGGATCAACAGACAGGCCAGATAGCTGGACGAAAAGGACAGTAAGAGAAAGATGGTCAGATAGACAATGGGACAGAGACAGGCTTACAGATGGGTGGACAGACAGATAGGTCTGAACAGCGGGCTGCCAGATGGACAGATGAGTGAATGGACGGATGGCTTGCGGCCGGCGGCTGTGACGTGCTGCTGTCCTCCCTAAATGCACACTATGGAGTGGCCAAACTCACGCCTCAACTTCTAGTTTTCAGCTCCTGCTTGTTCCTGGCAGGAGGCCAGGCAGCAAAGCGTCTGAGGGGAGTTTTCCTTGCCTAGAGGAGCCAGCTGCTGTGTTAACTCCCTCACTGCCGGTAGGTCCAAAAGCCCCTGCCTGCCACTCACCAGAGGCCAGGGTCACACTGTCCCAATGTGCTGGAGAACTTGGCTCCTGCTGCACTGCGGTTGCAGGTGAGGGCAGGGCTCCCGGGAATCTCCACACCATTCCCGGGGTTCCCGGCAGCTCCGGGAAAGCAGAGCTGGGGCTGCTCAACTATCTCCCCTGGATCCAGCAAGGCTGCCCCCTCCCAGAGTGGAGCCCCACTCCCCAGCTCCCATCTCTATCCCCTAACCCTCTTTGCATGGCCCAGCACAGGCAGCATCGAGGTGGCGCTAAACAGAGACAGAGGGAGGGGGACACAAAGTGGTGTCACTTAAAACTTGGGTTCAAGTCCCTATGCTTCTGCAGCCTGGCCTGGGTCCCATAACCCTCCAGGGTAGCCAAGGGCTTCCCGGTCTGCACAGAGGACAGGGGGACTTGACAGCATCAAACGCTGGTGACTACAAGACGTCCATGTGGGGAATGCAGACAGACCATGCCTCTAGCCCTTGGCACCTGGGACCATCCATCCCTGGGACTTGCTGTCCTGGAAATGCAGCGTGGGCCTCCAGGGAGGGAGGCTGTGCCGCCTAGGTGCCACGCCCAGCCTGCAGCTCTTCCCCACCCTGGCTGCGGGTCTGCTTCCCTGAATCCAAATCCGCTATTACTGTGCTGGCAGCGCAGCCTCTCTGGGGACACTGGCCTGGCCCTGTTCTCCCCAGACCTCAGGGTGCCTAACCGGGAGGCAGCCAGGGGAGTGAGGACCCACTGAGGAGCTCTGTTGACTAGGCTCAGCAGGAGTGCAGGTGATGTGGGTTGGAATCCTTCACACGTGGCTCCCACAGTCCTCCCCACTTCCTTCCCATCTGAGAACTGCCTGCTCCTGATGTCTACACCTGGAGTCTGGGACGCCCAACTGGGCAGCAGAGAAACTGAGGCACAGAGACAGACTGTGTCCTTACAGGCCACACAGCCTGCCAGGCCCCTGTGTCCAGCCAGAGTCCCTGGTCAGCCTGGGCTGGAGTGGTTGTTTACAGGCAGACTGTTCCCACGGCTGCCTTTCACAGTGGGGGCCTGTGGACTCCTCCTCCCAACCCGACCCGACTCCCAAGCCTCAGTGACATTGCTCAACCAGGAGCCGAAGTGCATTCCTGGGCTCAGGCCAGCCCACCCACCCACCCGCTGCAGTCCTGGAAGCCCAGAGGTCAGGGCAGCAGGAACAGTGGAGACAGCAGCGGAGGGGACATTCCCCCTCCTCTCCCCACCACCCTGGTCAGGCAGAGGCCAGGGTGCAGGGACCGCCTGAGCAAAGGCCCAGGGAAAGGAATGGGTGTCATTCTAGTCCTGAGGCACAGCCAGGGAGGTCCCTGAATGTCCTTCCTCAGGAAATGATGGGAGAAGGGACTATGAGAAGGAAAGAGGGGGTTTAAGTCCCCCACCTCCCGAAGTAGTCCTGGGCTGAGCCCCATGGGACCTGGAGAACCAGGGTGTACCCCAGCAGCGTATCAGGTCTAGGAAGCCTCGTGGCCAGCTCCCACTTCTCTTGCTGCTGTGCAACCCAGAGCAAGGCCTGCCCCTCCAGCCTCAGTCTTCTCCCCTGCAAACGGGGCCACGGCCTTTCCTTTCAGGCCAAAATAAGGATTGAGGCCGGGTGCAGTGGCTCATCCCTGTAATCCTAGCACTTTGGAGGCCGAGCTGGGAGGACTGCTTGAAGTCAGGAGTTTAAGACCAGCCTGGTCAACATAGTGAGACCCCATCTCTATTTGTTTAAATAGTTTTTTAAATTAAATAAATAAAATAAGGATTGAGGAGTGACGTGTACACCAGTTGAGCCCACCTCCATCTCACCCCTGGGGAGCCCCAGGGACACAGCCCTCCAGGGCTTAGACCCGCTGGTACTCAACTCCGCAGGCACAAAACTGTTTGTCTGTGGGCCCTTTGGTATCACCAGGTTTTCAGGGCTTCTAAAGGAGAGCCCCGACCTGGCTTCACCTGGGCCCTGGCCCCAGTGCCCCTGGTGATACTCAGGTGCTGGGCTGTGATCACAGCCTCCCACCAGCCCACCTCCACCAGCCTTTCCCAGAACCCTGCCCCAGGTGTTGGAACTGTGCCCGGAGGAGGGAGCAGACCCCGAGGGAGGCCGGGAGGGGCTGCCGATGGTGAAGGCTGCTGTGTCTAGCTGTTCCCTTCCAGACCCACTCCCTCTGGGCTGTGTCCCCAGCTGGTCCAAGCCCTGATCCCTGGGATCTGGGGACCTCTTCCCATTTGCTGTTCCCTGAGAACCAGGCCTCCCTCTGGAGAGGATCACAAGCATGGGTTTCACTCTGGGCTTGCTCTTGGAAACCCCCCAGGAGCTTGGCTCTGACCAAGATGTTTTGCTCCAGCCTCTTGCCAAATCCCCACTCCTCGGACATCAGCTTTACCTCCCGTGTCCTCGGCTGGGTGAGCTGGACGCCTGCGGGTCTGAGAAGACACCCGGGTTCCCGGCATCAGCTGGCCACCCTCTGCCTAAGAAAGCGCCAGGGTCGTGGCACCCCCTGGTGGCTGATCCTAGGTAGTGTCCCTGCCCAGCCCAGGGAAGAAGGGCCTGGCCCCAAGTCTGAGGGTTCAGGACGGGGAGGGGCAGGCATTGGCATGGACCTTCCCTGGGCCTCCAGCCATGGGCCTGGCTCTCCCCATGCTGAAGATACTGAGGCTAGTTCCAGCGACCGCAGTATGAAGATCTCTGAATCCCACCTCTCCGTTCCTCCGCAGCCAGATGGCTCCATTTCACATACAATACAGTGAGGCCCAGAGAGTGGGGAGCCAGGCCAGGGAGGCTGCCTGGAGCCTGGCATAATGGCCTCATTTATTGTGCTGCTCTGCCACTCACAAGGGAAGCACGACCCCAAAGTCCCCTTCCCAGTCCTTGTGAGTATCTTGTCCCTGGATTGCTGGTCAGCTTTGTCCGCCCCGAGCACTCAGTAACCGGCAGGCTCCCCGCCTTTCCTGGAGTCCGAGGCAGCTGCCCAGCCACCAGGTGTGTGGACAATGGCTTGCACCACAGCGATGAAGGTGGATGCGATCTGGATGTGATGGTGCCGGGTTTCCAGGGCTGCAGTCACTGCCTGGGGGTGGGAGGAGACGGGAAGCCTGAGCAGGGCTCCAGATGCCACCTGAACCATGCCTGTGTGGTCACAGGCCTCAGCCCAGGTGGTGCCATTTCAGGCCAGGTCATCAGGAAGAGCAGGTTGGGGCCTGTTTGGTCTCATTGGAGCAGGGGCTTGGCCCTCATGGCACAGGTGCTCCAGATGGCCCAGGCACCAGAGAGAGGACACCAACCATTGTCCACTCCATGATGATCCAGGCCTCCAGTCCAGGATGCCCTGGGACCCCACACCGTGACTCAGTTTCTCCAACCCCCAGCGCACCTGGTCAATGTTTCTCTCCACTGTTGTGACGTTGGGTAGAAGCTGGTCGTGCAGCCGGGGCTCCTCCACGGCCCGCTTCATGTCATAGCCGAACCAGAGGTTGTAGATGATGGCCTGGGGCATGGGAGTGTGATCAGCATGACCTGGGGGCTGTGCAGGGTGGGCAGAGCCAGGGAGAAAAGGGGTGACACATACCAGTGCAGTGGCCGTGGTGATCTGCGTGCCCCCAGAAGCTCCCACCACCATCCGGACCTGGCCATCCTGGCCCACCATGATTGCTGGGCACATGGATGAGAGCGGCTGCTTCCCTGCGGCCGACCAGAGAAGGCGGGGATGCCGGTCAGCTGCCTGCCCAGGACACACCCCCTTCTCCACCTCAGCCCCCCACCCCCGGACCTCCACCCCATACCTGGCTGGATGAAATTGGCGGGTGAGGGGGGCACCCCAAACTGATTGGTGATGTTGGGAGAGCTGAAGTCATCCATTTCATCATTGAACAGGATCCCACTGACTGGGGAGCGGACCTTGGAGCCAAAGCTACCGCCCAGCCAGGTCAGACAGTGCCTGACCTCGCCCGACCCAGCCTGGTCCCTATCCACCCACTGAGGCTCAGACTTACTCCCTGAGAGGCCCAGGATAAGCTACCAAGGCCAGGCCTCAGTTTTCCACCAGGAAAAGAGGTGATGGAACCACCTTACTGAATAAATGGGCAGTCCCTGGGCCACATGCCCCTGGCCCTGTCCCACCCAGGCGGCCCAGTAGCCCCTACTAGAGGTTGATGGTGCTGGTGGCGGACACAGCACTGCCGTCCTCTGCGACGACAGACAGGTGGGAAGTGCCTCCGTCATCTGGCGTGTAGAACTCGGGTTTGTAGTAGGAGATCGGGTGAGTGGTATCATCAGAGATCTGGGCCCGGAGCTGGGCAGCGAAGAACTCAGAGGTCATGTTGCGAACCACCTGCCGAGACCAAAGAGTTGGCCTAAGGAGGTGGGGAGGGAGGGAGGGGAGGGGGCACAGGTCTCAGAAGGCCCCCGACTGTGGCTCTGACCACAACCCTCTGGCACCCACAGCCTTTCGTGGCTCCCCAGGGCCTAAGGGCAGGCCCAGCACCTTGCATGACCAGTCTGACTCTCTGTCTCTGTTGCCTTCCAGCAACTCTGAATGTCTGTCTATCTGGCCCTCAGCCTCCAGACCCTTGCCACATTCAATCACTCATTCACTCACACAAAAAATATTTCTAGAGTTTGCACTGCATGCCTGGCACTGGAAAATCAACAGGGAACAGATACTTAGGTCCCTGCTCTCATGCCAAGAAAAACAAATGCACACGGGGAAATTGCTGAAGCCACAAGCCAGTAAGGGGAATCAAGAGGCATGAGGTATGGGCAGAGTGGTCAGGGAGGGCTTCTCGGAGGAGGCAACATGTGAAAAGAGCCTGGAATGCAGCCTAAATGGTCAGTGCAAAGGCCCTGAGGCAGGCGGTATAGGCTGGTAAGCGATAGGCAGAGAGTGAATGGGGTCGGGGGAGAAGAAGATGAAGATGCAGGCTGGGGCCCATCCCACAGGACCTCCTAGGTCCCTTAGTGACTGGCTTTTGTTCTGTGCCACGCAGGCTTTGGGCAGAGGAATGAGCAGGCTGGAGAGTGTTTTCACAGGGTCCCTCTGAGAGCTGTGAGGGGGATAAAGATAAAGCCCAAAGGGGAGGCTGCGGGTATCAACCAGGCAAGAGATGATGGCCTGGGTGGGAGAAAGAGAAGAATTGAGGATGGCACCAACTAGGGAAGTAAACCCTGCAGAAGGGGCAGGTTTGGGGACGGTCAGGAGCTTGCCTTTGGATGCTTCATCAGACCTGAAGAGCATGGGTGCATGTATAAGTATGGGTGCACCGGCAAGGGCGGGCTGAGGGATGAATATGGAGGTATTGACATTGAGAGGCTGCTGGATGCCACGAGCCTGGCCAAGGTCCCCAAGG